AATCTAATCCTGGAATCTGAGAGAATCCCTGGGCGCATAGTCAAGCTTTGTGCTTGATGATAACATTGTTTTGATCGGTTTTAAGTCGAAAAGCCCAGGTTGTACCTAATGCGTGTGCTCCTTCTGGGAGTTCCATCTCAGTAAAGACGCCCATCTCAATTAAGTTGCTCAGCTCTTTTTCAATTGCTTGTTTCCAATGAATCGAGTCGGGCCTATTCATTGCTTCGCGATAGGAGTAAGGTTCAGACTTGAGATTAGCCAGGTTGGCTCGACACATGGAGACTAGAGAATTGGTGACTAAATGTGCTCTTCGTCTTGAGGTAATGATGTTGGAAGGGTCGATGGAGCTGGTGATTGCCTTGGGAGCTGGTTGATTAGCTGGGACCATGGTGAACGAGGGTCGAGTTGATGAACTTCCCGTCGTGCGATTAGAGTTGACGTCAGGTTGATCAGTGATAACATCGTTTTGAGTGACTTCAGGTTCAGGTAGGATTTCAGGATCTGGTGATTCACGAATAGGAGTCGAAGGTCTAGGAGCATCAGGAATGGGAGAAGTAGTCGAAACAAGAGGAATACTGGGAGTAGACATGTCTTCATCACAGAAGAGTGGATGGATAGGAGTTGCAGGAGAAAGATGTTCGACAGATTCATCAAAGTCATCATTCAGTTCTTTTAGCTCTACAGCATCATAGCTTCCAAATTTATCATTAAAGGAAGACAAGACGGCAGGATCAGAAAAGGGAAAAATTTCCTCGTTGAAGACCACATCATGACTGTATATCACGCGATGTTCATCAAAAAGATAGATACGATAATTGTGCATGCTTCCTTGATAACCTAGGAAGACTCCTTTCTTAGCTACGTCGGAAAACTTGCTGGATCTTTGCTCCTTGCCAATGTGAACATAAGCCAAGCAACCAAACACACGAAGATGTGAGTAAGTCGGTTTCTTCCCAAACCAATTTTCGTAAGGAGTTGTAAAGTTATCTCTGACAATAGGAGTTAAGTTTTATAAATAGACGGTTGTCGAGACAGCTTCCGCCCAAAAGACTAGAGGTAGACTAGCTTGCTTAAGCAGAGCCCTTGAGCGTTCAGTTGTTGTGCGATTGCCGCTCTCAGAGATAGGGTTTTGTTGAGGCGTATACGGAGCAGTGAAATTCATTTGAATGCCTTCATGTTTGATGAACTCAGCAAATTGATTGGATGTGTACTCTCCACCATTGTCATTGACCATGGTTTTAATTCGAAGATTTGTTTGATTCTCGACAAGTGATTTGAATTGCACAAAGTGAGAAAAAGTTTGACATTTTGATTGCAGAATATAGACAAATTTAAAGTTGGACTTTTGATCAGTGATTTTAAAGTAATATTTGCCGCCGCCAAGGGAAGTAGGAGAAATTAGACCACTCAGATCGCTATGTATTACAGATAAACAATCACAGGCATTGGGAAGATGGCTTTTAAATGGGAGGCGATGAGTTTTAGACAAGATGCACGGTTCACAAGGATCAGGGAAGTGGACTCCAGGAAAAGCTTTCTCGAACGGAATCCGTCCAGGATGGCCTAGGCGCCTGTGAAGAGTGCTAGCGTTAATTTGAGTCGATGCAGTGAGTGAGAGTGGAGAGGACTTTCCCAGATCGAAATTAATTTCCATAACACCAGTCTTGGTGTCCCCAGTAAGTACCACATTAGAATCAACAATAACATTGAAACTAGAATCCGGAGAGAAGTTGAAAGAGCAGCCTTTTTGAACCAGGGAAACCATGCTGACCAAGTTTGTTGCAAGTTGAGGAACGTGGAGACAGTCAGTGATTGAGATGGTCTTTCCATCATGAGTTCCGGAGACAGTTCCGGTTCCAACCGCATAGATTTGTTGTCCGTTTGCGACATGAATGGCGGCGTGGCAAGGTCGATAACTAACAAAGCTAGATCTAGCGCTGAACATGGATTGAGAAGCACCGGAATCAAGGACTGGTTTGCCGGTTAAGGTTGCATTGAAGACATAAGTGGCAAGAACCGTACCGCTGATGGTGTTGGTGGAGTTAGCAGTGCCACGGTTAGATGATCGATTATTTTGAGTGGGTTTTAATTCTGGATGAACTTGGAAACATTGATCTTCCGAATGAGACGTTAAAGGATTGTGAGTTCCGTTTAAACAGCGTTCATAGGTAGGAGTTCTTCGTTGAGCAACTAAAGCAGCAGGTGGAGAGACAGAAGCATTGGAAGGTTGATAGTCAAGTACGATTTGTTGAAGGTGTTCAAAGACTTGATCAAGCGTAAGCAGGGTGTCGGCGGTTTCAGCAGTATGAGCTAGTAAGTCTCAAGTAGAATGATAACGAGAGGAAAGTTTTTATAATAGCATATGCGCTAAAATGTCATCATCAATCTTGAATGAGACTTCAGTCATCTCATGAGTGATTTTACGGTATTCAGTAAGAAACGAAGAAAGATGGTTGTTGGAGCATTTAAGATTGAGAAACTTTCCAAGAATATGAGCACGGTTACGAGCTTTGGTTGAAGCATATAATTTTACTAAAGCATCCCAGATAGCTTTGGGATCTTTAATGTTGTCGGCATTAATGACAAGAGCTCGATTCTCAGGGCTTAGCTTTCTAGAGATAAAACCAGCAGCTTTCTTACGTCGACGAACATAGTCGAGTTTGATTGCAGCAGTAGCATCTTCAGCCGGTTCTTCTTCGGTACCGTCAACGATTCCGTCAAGATCACCTTCCATGAAGTGGGCTTGCATGAGAGGTGACCAGCGCTGCCAATCATGCTCCAGAGGAGCAATGTGAGAGGCTTCGTTGGCTGAGTTGTGATTTGACATTACTTGGGTAATGTGGTTGTGAGTTTCAGTGGTGATAGTTGATGTAGGTGATGGTGCGGATGTAGCTGGTCCGTCGCTCATGAAGTATGAGTAGCGCTTTGAATCTGATTAAGATGAGTTGTCTGGGCTCATAACCTAATAAAGTAGGCAATTCAGAGGTGATCTGATAAGAATCACGAGTTAGTGATTAAGAAGAGCGCTATGGCTAAGAGATCACTAAGGAGTGATGGAAAGAACTAATCACCTGATAAGAATCACGAGTTAGTGATTAAGAAGAGCGCTATGGTTAAGAGATCACTAAGGAGTGATGGAAAGAACTAATCACCTGTTGGAAGGTGGCACGATAAAAGATGACAATGTTTGAGTATTATATTTCCATGAGCAGCATTAAGAGAAATGAAAGAGAAAAAGATATAAACTATATGCAGACCTGATAAGAATCACGAGTTAGTGATTAAGAAGAGCGCTATGGCTAAGAGATCACTAAGGAGTGATGGAAAGAACTAATCACCTGTTGGAAGGTGGCACGATAAAAGATGACAATGTTTGAGTGAGGAAAAACAATGATGTAGCACAAACAATGGCTCTTTATACGGCAGTAGTTCTTTTAGACATAGGTTAGGTATAATCAGGATTGCGTCTCTCATGCGCTGCTTTGGGACAAGTAAAACATGCGAATTGATGTTGAGGAGAAGAAAAGGAAATGTAAGATACTATGACCAATGCGGAAATGGTAGTTAAGAGATTATAGGATGGTAATATTGGAATCGAAATTTAACAAAGATAACTACCCAAAATCACGCTGGACGACCAAAGAAACTCACAAAACACAATGAACAATCCTTGAAGCAAATCCTCAAGAAAAACAGAAGGGCAACATTATCTGAAATCACCAAGCTCCTTCCCACAAAAGTTAGCTCAACATGTCCGGCGAGAAATCCACAAACTTGGGATACATTCATGTGTAGCGGCCAAGAAGCCAGCCCTCAATGACACACACAAAAAAAGACGGCTAGAGTTTGCTAAAAAGTACCAACACTTTACTGTTGAAGACTGGAACAGGGTAATCTGGACAGATGAGTGCTACTTTGAAATCGGCAAAAACTGCAGACAAGTTTTAGTCTGGAGAATGCCTCATGAAAAGTACCTTGTTGACTGTCTAGCTCCTACTTTTCAAAGTGGTCAAACATCAGTGATGATATGGAGTGCATTCACAGCAAATTTTCAACTCCCAATCATTGTAATGCCTCCAGGTATGGAGGACGAGAGTTGCGACCGAGGACCACATCCTATGCACTGTGCACTATGTGTTGTGCGCTATGCATTATGCATTATGCTTGCCATATGTGAGAAATTATGTACAGGTGTGGCACTACTGTACACCCAAAAGCCCACCCTTTCCATTTTGAACACCGCTCCTTGATTCTCTTCACCAGCTCCGACTCCGGCCTCAACGAACTATTCCAGCCAGGGAGACCAGCACCTGACCGGATTCAGGAGGTTTGTCTCTCTGGTGGCCTTTTGATGCGTACAACCGGACTTGTAACATCATCAGGTTAGGAAGAACTTCGATTTCATCAACAGAACCTCCACCCTCAGGTGTATTGGATCCGCATCTCAATCGATCACAAGGATAAATGTGACTCCATCCACTTCTGAACAAAGTAAGCACAACTTTAATCGGTGTTCCTTGATCCAGCTGACCCAATTTTGTTTACATCTTTTGTAGCATGTGTCTTTGATGGCATCCATTCCGATCGAATATCCTCTTAGCTCTAGTTTTAAGCGTCATTTATTATGAATGGTGTGCTTTGTTTGTTAGTGTAATATGATGATAGGCGACAACATTCAAATCCCTGGCTTCATATCCAGGGGGTGGGTCATGGTAGATTAATGTAAGGTTATGAGAGGGGTTCGCGTTTCTTATATACTTGGACTTGCCATTTGGAAACTTTCGCCCACCTGGCAAAACAATTCGAGGTAAGTTTTTATCTCATCCATGCTTCAAGCGTTCATTGGATCATTCGCATCACTCATCTTTACATTTTTTTTCTTGGCCCTATCGATTCACTTATTATCTCTTTCCCATTCTATCATCTCTATTGTTACCAACTTCTCACCAATAAACTTTCAGACATCCAAAGTTATCGCCACCTTTGTGTTTTATCTCAACATGGATTCAACACCACTTCCGATGTGCGACACTTGTACTGAAGAATATCCGTACATGGATCCCAAAACTTGTCCAACATGTGGAGCCTGCCTACACAATAACGCTCTTAATTCAGCCGAAGATCGTTCAACAGTACCACCTTTGAAGTACTGCAAGGACGGGTGTGGAATGACATTACCTGCCAAATTTCATGAAGGCATGTGTCGCCCCTGCCAGCGAAAAACACAAGAGAATCAACAAAATCAGCCTACATCTCAGTCAACCAATCTGCCTGTCTTTGTTGATGAGGTCGACCCAGCACAATTATCAGCAATCCAATCAAGCTTCACCTTACCCCAACTTCAATCACTGTCTTGTTATCCAGCTATCCCTGCCCCCCCCTGTCCCAGGCTCCTCTAGACCGAACAAACGCCCAGCACAGATCCCACAAACCTCCTTAGTTGGATTGGAGCGTGAAGAAGCTTTTCAACACGGAGAATCAGCAGCCAAGAAGATCCGCTTGAATAGGATTCAGGAAAACAAGAAGATACCACGCCTGACTGCAATTGGACGTCAGCATAAGAAGAAGGTTGAAACTCCGGTCACCCCAGCTTTGAAATCAATTGCGGTTAAGCTCAAGTATAATGTACAAACCAGTTCAAAGTCACACAGTCTCCCACAGCATATGCATGATATCGATTTCACTGATCCGGATTGGGAGATCAAGATCATGAAAACAGCCATCAAACACTTCCAGAAGACCTCAGTCGGAATATTTCCCCCTACAAACAGAGGCATAGATCGATTACCTGCTCTTCCCGATTTCGATTCTTCATTTTATTCTCTTGGTATCCGTGATGTGATGATGTCAGGAGATCGTCTTCAACAAAGCATTATATCTCCCGAGCGGAATCCACGTCAGCGATCGGTCCCAGGGCCTCTAGTGGTCACTCTATTTTTTGCCGCTGCAACCTACTTGGCTTTGATGAAGCCACCCAGCTCAAACATTGGCAGTGATTCTGAACTGAAGGATTCTGAAACTGAAGATGATAGTAGTCAATCAGAGACAACTCACAGTAAGTCATTTTTTTATATTGGTTTCTTGGGGTTCTACTATGGACTGATTGATTTTCTTTTCCATTCATTGAAGTTCGACCAACCAACACATCTTCAATTGTTGCTGTTTCCACTTCAAAATGGCCCACTATCATAGCAACAAGTGTATCACTGGTGGTTAAGCGGATACATCAGCTTGCTGATCAAGGCATTGACCCTCTTGAAGTACCAAATTCCTCGGTCGTGGCTGCTGAAGATCAATACGATATTGCAAATACACCTTTCCCTCAAGAAATCGGTACCCCTCTCCCGGATGGTCATCCTGCTGGCGATGGTCAAATTATCACAACCATCTCATGGAGTGATGCTTTACAATTACGACTTGGGATAGGTCAGTTCAGAAAATTTTTGTTTCATTGATCTTCAATCAAAATTAACAACTTTTTTTTGATATCATAGGACGCCACATTGCCTTATGTTCCCATTCTTCAATTCAATCATTTGGAGGTGTCTTGCCAAGTGTTGACAATTTGGCAAGACCATTGAGGAATAGCATCCCTTGGAGCAACACTATACTCATGGCCCTTTCAAAATCGAACACTCAGTCTTCCCTGGATGAAAACTCTCAACCTCTTGTTTTTGGTCAGTGGGAGGCTTTAGCAGCAGTTGAAGAAGATCAGTTCTTTGGTGAGGGGAAAAGGCATCGCTCTTTTAGGGCAACTTTGTATATTGATGGAGGATGTCGTGAAGTTGTTGCTAAGGAAATCATTACTGAAGGAGGTGGTGATCAAGCCACCTACCTTGAGGACTCAGTTGTTTACCATCAAACCTCATGCCTGCTTGAAGAATTCAAACTGGATATGTTTGTGCAATACAATGTCACAATTGCTCAAAAGAAGATGTTGAACTCTTTACAGGTGGGTCTTGCATATCACGATACCTTTGAATATTGATACTAATCGTATAAATATTGTAGGTTGTTTTCAATATGGTCATGATCCAGGATGGCAATTCTTATAAAGTTGAAGAGCTCCTTGATCACTCACCAGAAGCAATATCTACCATGATTGACAATACCCTGCAAGCACCAATGTCGTTACTATCTGATGTTTTAAATGCGTTTGTACATTACACATATGATTACTTCAAAGGCCAAGCACTTATTTGAATTATCAAGACCGTCAATGGTTGTTTGACTGGCATGCGTATGGTTGATCGAAGGTTAGTCTTTCTTATATTACTTTCCCATGATAAGATAACTAGCAACTTGTTGGCGGCGGGCGCCGCTTTAGCCGCCATGTCATGTATAAACCAAACACATTGCAATCCCAAAAGCATGACAAACCCACAATTCCATACACATACATATACACTGACCTTGGTGAACTCAACCTGACAAAATTTGTTTGCAACAGAGAAGTCACAAAATTGAGAAACTTGAATATGCTTGGACAAAACAGGATTTACAAAGCGATAAAAAAAAGTGTAGTAGGTGTCTTGAATCTTTATTTGATTGTTACAATTGCAGGAAAACCTGACCCCCAATCAACCCCCCTCTTTTGCAAGATCCCCCCTTGGGTTTTGTGTGGTGTCACCACAACCCCACATCCATGAGGTCAGCACTTTGCATGCAGTGTTAGGAATGCAACCAAACAGACTGTGTGATTCTTATCAAAAGAAACATCAACAGGGCATCAAGACTGAGTTTACCATGACAGGATCTGAATTCAATGCAAGGTTTCCAGGTGATTCTCAACATGGTAAATCCAAGTAGAGTAATCAGCTTCTAAGCATATCTAAGATCAGCCTATGATATACACATACTTTTTGTTTTCCTTGAAACAAGTTTTTGGTTTATTAAATGATTCCAATCAAATTTGTAGAAATACCTTTCTCCCTGGAAACTATGCCTTTAACAGCATTGCATATTTAAGTATCACACAATTTGGGAATATGATTGACTCGAATGCCCTAAATCTTGACAAAGAGTATGAGCCTTTCCTCTATCTAGGTGCTTTGTAATGATGATTTAGAAGGGTTTCTGCAAGAGTGTTCCTCAATCATCTATAATTGAGGGGTATTATTGGTTTCTGTATTGAAGTGGTTGTATTGAAGTGGTAATTCAATACATTGCAAATTGATAAGATGGATTCACGTCTAGAATGAAGAAATTAGAATGAATAGGAAAGGTTTAGATTGCGATGATAAACAACTTACCAAGAATGAAGATATTAGAATGAATAGGAAAGGTGAGGAAGAAAACCCATCCATCTAACATCAAAACGTAATTAGATATATGAACTACAACAATAGGTTATAAGGCTAATTATACAGAGAAAAGTATTAGCATAATCACAATGATGTCATACACTTAATGATCACACTATCACATCATAACACAAATTAATCTAAACACTTCACAGATCATCACAAACCCAAATAGCCTGAGCAGTGGGTATGAAAAAGACTGATGAGATGGATATGCAAAAATCATAATTGAACAGCCAAATTCCAAAAAACACTTAACTCAAATGAAGATCATAACTGCTTGACATCTTCCAACCACAAAGTTATTGAGAGGTATCTGTGTACACTGAGAATAAACCAATTCAAGTGTTGGTCCGTTGGTGTACGCAGAAATCAGTTGAATAGATCCACTTGAATTAAAATTGCAATCAAATCATCCAAATGATCTGTTCCACACAGATTTCTAATCTGGTTTTAAGTAAAGAAGTAGTATGAAATGGAACATAAAATTTATTTACACTTGGTAAACAAACTTTCTGATTGGATTTGATCATCACTTTGGAAATGGATTTTGATTTTTAAATTATAAGCTGGTTTGATCTGCTAAAGTCATTGATGATAAGATGTTACATTGTGATTGTGATGGTGGCTCTACTTCATATTCAAACTTGAATCAAGTAACCAGAATAGACAAAGAGATCATGTGCCATTAATTTTTGGGTCTCTTAGTGTAGTTCATTGACCCAATCTTCAATACTGTTACTACCTGACTTGGTGTGTGATAAACCAGGGCAATGTCTCTTGGACATCAAGTATGAATTAGGATCATGTCTATCAAGAATGAATGCAAACAAAAATTGTGTGATACCAGCCTACATAGTGAAGAAAGTAAGATCAGAGAAAATGGGTAAAAGATGTCACAATACTACTGGAGATATTGTGATTTGTTTGCTTAACTTTGAAACACTTTGTGTATATCAGACCTAGACTCTCTTTACCCTATCATTGATTATTGGTGGGATTCTTAGAATAAGCTACAATATGATGTCAGGAAAGAAATAAGAAAAGTGGACATACTCAATCAAGGGCTGTGAGAGCGTCAAAGGATTCTTCATTAGGATCCCAAAACATTGAGCTCATAGGTCAATTCTCGTACTGCTTTTTGAATGTCTTGTTAAACCTCACCTGGTTTCCACCATCAATCGACTTATCTAGTGAACAATTTGGATACTGTTTATAGAATGAAAAGCAGAATCTGCTATGGAGTTTTCAACCAATTTTGAGCAATAAGTTCATGACCATATACAAAAGAGACCAACTCTGATGAAGGCTAGTTCAGGAGCAATGTTAAATGCTAAATCTTCATCTTTCTTTAAATCCTTGTGTTCAAACTATTGATATCAATGATTCCAAAAAATAATAAACGATCTAATGAGTTGAGTTTTACTTCATCAGTCAATTTCTTGATTTGAATATGAATAGATCGTCTGCATTCTTTAAAATGAGTTCAACAAGCGCGAAATCGTTTTGAGCCATGTCCCCTTTCATAAAAAGAAGACTGAAGTCGTTGTCACTCGATCAATGATTATCAGTAAAATTTACTTAGATTTGAATTCGATAATGTTGACCACTTTTGAATTCATCACGAGAGATCGATTTAGTCAATTTCAAATATCATTTAGTCGCTATCCAAGTTATAGAAGTTTTAATGATTCCTTCTAACTGCAACACTGAGACTCTTGAGGATGAAACAAAAAGAATGAGTGTGTGTTATTAGAAACATGATTAAAGGAGTCAAGTTTGAACTCACGCCTTAACCACTTGGTCTTGATTCCGTTGTTCTGAAAACTGATTGACTCCGGTACAACATCATCAGTTTTCTCCTCAGTTGATTCATCCAAGATAAAACCTCGATCAGATGATGTAAAGTTAGCTCAAGAAGCCGATGCTCAAATGAAGTTGAGGGTGATAGAGAGGTGACATCAGTTGTCCACCTTTTTAATTCATTCAGTCAGAGGTTGAAGACAAGACCTGAAAGATGGTTAAGGGCAAGTGTTCTCCTTGATTTTCGTACTGATTGCCATAGATTGTGAACATCACAGTTCGAAGGAAAGTATCGTTTTTGCTTATGGAAACTAATCTACACAAGCCAGAGGTATTTCTTGGTTTGCTTGAAAGAACAATAGATTCACCTATTAATACGTGAGATAAACCGACATTGTTAAACTGAATTATGAGTTGAGTTGACGAGATTGAAGTCCGTCTATCATCATGATCTAGATCAAGTCCTTAACTTTTGTCTGCTTCTTCGAGATGCACCCAAACTTCTTCCCTCTCAATTCATCCAATGCCATTTGCTATCACTGCGCCAAATTGCAAATTTACCGTGGGGTTTAGAAAATTGAGTAGACATAGAAAATTATAGAGAATCTGGCCAGGGTCAGAAAAATATGGAAAAATAATGGTAGGGCTCTTTGATGCCTTCCAATTGTCTGTCATATTTTTTCATATTTTTATAACCACAATGCATATAACATTACACAAAATATAATATCTTCTGGGCAAAAAATATAAAAACCAACACACAAAGATATTGAGCAGTCTGGGAGAGAGACAGAAATACACAAAAATATGCATATTGTTCCTATAGTTGAGAGCTTTGATTTGCATATTTTTTGTATTTTTAGTGTCAAAACTGTTGATTGTACTAACAAAAAAACCTTCAAGATTCTCAGATTACAATCTGTAACAGATATTGGAGGGCATAAGTTGAATTCTACAATCCCTTATATCTTTTGCAATTCTGGATCAAAAAACTTGATAATTAGTTCATTAAGAAGCCATGGAAAGCATTGGAGTGTTATGTTAACGCATCAAATCTGTAGCTCCACTACAAAAAAAGTTATTTGTCTTTGAAACAATTTCCTATATAGCCACATAGATATTCTTTGGACTTAGACACATATTTGCTGTCTCAATGAAAGATATAGTCACAGAGTTTGGCTTTCCAATGAACTAAAAATCAAGTGGTTTGACCAAGAATTGACCAAGATATAAGGGATTGTTGAACTCAAATTATGCCCTCCAATATCTGTTACAGGCCGTAATCTGACAATCCTGGAGGTTTTTTGTTAGTACAATCAACACTTTTCACACTGAAGATACAAAAAATACGCAAATCAAAGCTCTCAACCATAGGAACAATATGCATATTTTTGTGTATTTTTGTCTCTCTCCCAGATTGCTCAATATCTTTGTGCGTTGGGTTTTATATTTTCTGCCCAGAAGATATTATATTTTGTGTAGTGTTATATGCATTGTGGTTATAAAAATATGAAAAAATACGGCAGACAACCGGAATGCATCAAAGGGCCCTTCCATTTTTTTTCATATTTTTCTGACCCTTGCCAGCTTCTCTATAATTTTCTAAACTCCACGGTAAATTTGCAATTTGGCGTAGTGTATGAAAGCGGTTCAAAAAAACATGTCACCCCAGAGGGCTGGATAGATTTGAGGAAAAAGTGATAGCTTTTGATCACTCACATTTTGAATTAGCAATGTGCTCCGTGAATCAAGATACCCGACATTTCTTTCCAAAAAGAAAGTTCTTGGTGGACTGAGATGAGATTCACTTTCACGTCTTGTAGTGTCTTTTGAGCTGAATCAAATCAGAAAGTGAAACCAAGAGTTTAGTCAGCAGTTGGGATGAGGCTATTAGGTCAAAATCCATTCATCTAGAGCCAATTCATGCTCGATCTTGATATCCTTTTTGACACCATTTTTGGCCACCATCGAGTAAAGCTGAGTAACCAGGTACCAATTTCCATTTGTGAGCATTGAGATTCAAAAAGAACATTGAATAGAAAAATATGAAAGCTGAGTTCAAGTACACAATTTGAAGTAGGACCACGACCCACTCCTGAGCCACTGATTGAGAGCCCGTGTTGTTTGATCCCAGGGCCACTTGCTGCCATGTTTTAGTTGAGAGGATCGACGATGGGTTGAGTCGTAGTGAATTGATTATGAGTCAATTTGATTTATCATGCATCTGACCACTATCAAGTATAGAAAAGATAAAATTAGCTTGAATTTTTGTGATGTAGTGTAGATCTAGATACCAACCTTGCTCATGGAACGTATCTCTGTTTAGATGCAAGGATAAGAGTTTTTGATTGGTTGAGGATGGTTTCAATTTCCACCAAGCTGAATAGTATCGGATGGTTTGTGTGATTATGGGGCATGAATATGTGTATACTCCACATGCAGATACAGATGATGTGCAACAGTATTCACAGCATTGGTGATTTGCAAATGGTTTTGAGGAAAGGGGTAGCAGTGCGGCGGGTAAATGATTCCATTTGAAGATGATGTTGATGGTGAATGCAAATCGATCCACAAAGATAGGTTTCTGCCCATGTTCAAAGCTTGAAAATCACGCTAATGGTGGATTTTGTCGAGTTTTGTAAGCGAAGTGCCTTTGGGATTAAATGTTATGATGATATGGCTCACTCATCCGTATTTTCAATTTTGCATAACTTCTGTCTGAGTTTTGCACAAACTCTGTGTTTCAATTTATCAGAGCAGTATGTTGTAGATGAAAGTATAACATTCTTCAATCATACGAGGTAGGTCTACTACAACTTCAATCCTATACCTACTAAATAAGTGAACAAATACGTTTAATTCAAAACATATCCTTCCTCCTCTTATGAAACCCACCCGCAACATGGCAAAAATAAAACTAGTCATCTTTACTACGACATTGATTCTGTACCTACTAATTCTAATGTTTTCTTCATCTCAGAGTCTTTTGACTTCATCCATGACATAAAAATAAACAACCATCTTTGAGTTACATTGTATCCTCCCCTGACTTATGAATCCCAAATCCAACATGAAAAAATGAGAAATTGAAACGAAGAGAAAGAGAAAGATGGGCGAAAGAAACCAAATAAACAAAGATTGTAAGATCTTGATTTCATCATGCCGGTTGTACTTGAATTGTATCTTGAGTCCAGGTTATTTGTTGAGATACATGTCTGTTGATAAGACTATTTTTGACCATTTAATTCTTGTTTTTCGAGAACCTCCCTACAAGTTGTTTGATCAATATCATAACTATAAGTAAACTCTCAATGTTGATACAGATATTGTACCAAGGAGCTTACTTATGATAACTGGCCAAAGCATGAAGCAAAGCAGCATCTTTGGTGGCAACTTCCATGGCATCCTGATGCGATTTGAGTGAGGTGTTGGCCAATTTGAATTTGTTTTCAAGGTCTTGAAAGGAGGTAAGTGAGAGGTTGGGCTCAAGTAGCTGAAGATTGATTTTTTCGATCGACTTGTAGGCAACTTGAAGGTTACCGCCAAGCTCGTGGTAGTTCTCTAGGGCATCGTCGTGAGTACTGAGGATTTCGCCGATCTCGTTATGATTGAGATACTCAAACTTCCGGGCAAATTCTTTGATGGCCTCAGCCGCAAGACGATACTGTCCGTTTTTAAGGTTCGGGAGGCAAAACTCGTTGAAGTGATCGATCCGTCCGGCGTCGATATCAGCACTTGAGTTCACCCATCTGATGGACGGTTGAATAATACTAATTGGGTGGCTAAGCTGGGCTTGGATATAGTCTGTGTTGGGGCCAACATGGATAAGTATGTAGTAAAGACGAGGGGCTATCATTTCCACGAAGATCTTGAGGAGTAGCTCGTGATCTTCTTGCGCATTTTGAGTAAAGCGAAAATACGGATAAAAAGAAAGGATCACCTCCACAATTTGGGAGGTAGTAGCTTTGCTTAGAAAGAGGTCAGAATCAATCCGAGGCCTAGGTTCGTTGACAACATATTGAAGGATGTAACTAGGTAGGAAGATGTGGAATTGTACTGGAGTTGACATGATCTTACAATTTGATCAGAAGAGATGAGCGAAGATAGGGAATTTGGATAAGCAGCCGGTTGGAACAATCCTTTCTGATTATAAGTATGATGAGCAACCTGATCATCCAGAACCTTCTCGTAGTTATATAAAACCCCTTGAGGCCCATGATCGTACGATATTGTGTTCAAATCGATTAATTATCCAACTTGTATGCAGTCTAGAAACCAAAAAGAGATCTATGAAGGGAAGCATGGAAGACCGCTAATTAGTGACTCATTGTCAAACTCCGATATCAATGCATAGATTGAAGAAGCTTTAACCCCCCACAAAGGTTCTGGTAATGGGATTGTAGCCTTGTTATCACTTAGAGCGACAGATTTATCCCCACAACGAGATTTAATTTTCTAACAAATTCTCCTTTGAAAGATATGCACAAGCTTGTTGATCACCGGGAAATTATGTATCTGGAGAGCTTGATCCACCGGTCAAATTCTTGTACTCATAGACATTTTTTTACCAGCTTGATTCACTTCTTTTCCTTGTTTTATGATTACGACTCTGTTCTTCTATCTCCCTGATTCACAAACTAGTCTTCATGGCCCGGCGAATAAGTTCTCGCATAACCCACAATAGGAACCTGAACAACAAAATCCAAGCAGAGGTCGAGCGGATTGTGGATGATGATGCAGCAACTCCAATTGATCCACCTATTGGTTCAACGAAGAGGAAGAAGGGTGGATTACAAGATGAACCACAAATAGATGGTGAGGTCTTTTCAGAATATAAGCAATGTACGTCAACTGACCACAATCTAAGGAACGCTAGAACCCGGAGTTTTGGTTGCCAGTGGATCCCGAGATCGCCTTCTTCAACTCCTTGACAAGCACATAAACAAGAAGAAACTCAGGCAATCGAGGGCCTCTCCTTCAAGTTTAACAGTCGAAAAGATAACAACACCAATCAGTTTGACCCAAACAGAAGTCCAAGATCAACCAGACTTACAAGAAATTCATTTCGACTATTCAACTTTTGAAATGCAGGACCTTTTCAAGATGGTTTCAGAAGTAGGCGTAGACCCTTGGGGAATGGACAAATCGGATTTAATCAGGAACTGCGAGAAATTTAGAGATCTGAGTAAGCTCTAGACACCTTGTACGTCATCAATGGATATGAAAGAATGCGACTCAAGTAAAAGCTTTCTTTTTTGGACTTCATTGCAGTAATGATACCCGAGACTCGTCGCGTAGTTCACGGAAAGAAAATGTCAAAATCAGCAGCTTCATGAGGAAGTGCCGGCGCTGACTCGGCTGTTTCTGAAAGATTGCAGATACGCCAGGGTGAGTCTTTCCAGTCTCATACACTATAGTATGATCAGTCTGTTGGTTACAAGATGCGCTGATAGTCTCATGAACATATCCGCAGCTGATCCTGAGAAATCGACATCAGAAAAACCGACATCAAGCCCAATTAAGGCGTCGAAATCTGTATCAACAAGCCTCAAGCATGACGAAGCCTTGAACGCTCAAAAAGGCCCCACTGCTTCATCTTCTAAAGCGCGAACTGTCAAGAATAAGAACAAAGGTAAAGGTAAAGGAGGAGCTCAAGAAGAAACAACATGTCAGGGTGAGTCTTGTCAGTTCTCAAACGTTCTAGTATGATCAGTCAATTGGATACAAGATGCACTAACACTCTCATTAAAAACTCCGCAGCTGATCCTGAGAAATCGACGACAGACAAGCCGGCATCAAACCCAATTACGGTGTCGAAATCTGTCTCAACAAGTCTCAAGCACGACGAATCCTCGAATGGTCAAAAAGATCCCGCTGTTTCATGTTCTAAAGCGCGAACTGTCAAGAATAAGAACAAAGGTAAAGGTAGAGGAGGAGCTCAAGAAGAAACATGTCAGGGTGAGTATTGTCAGTTCTCAAACGTTCTAGTATGATCATTCAGTTGGATACAAGATGCACTAACACTCTCATTAAAAACTCCGCAGCTGATCCTGAGAAATCAACGACAGACAAGCCGGCATCAAACCCAATTACGGTGTCGAAATCTGTGTCTCCAAGTCTCCAGCATCACGAATCCTCGAACGCGCAAAAAGATCAAACGGCCTCATCTGAGAAAGCGCCATCTGTTTCAAATAATGAGAAAGGTAAAGGTAAAGAAAGAGCTCAAGAAGAAACTCAAGACAACTACGAACCAGAGCTGGCTTCTCAAAGTATTCATTTTTCCGACCATGATTCCTAAACAAGCTCAGAAATAATCAAATCATGTAACTTCAACACTCAAGATACTGCAAATACGAAATCAGAGAGAACAGACAAGAACTCAGGTCATTCAGGTGAGTTGTTGTATAGTGGAAGCTTTACATTTGGAGCAAAGAGTGATGGGCTCATAGTGTTCAGGGCCTTGTGTAGAAGAAAGCGACCGATACAAAGAGCTGAAGAATTTGTACCTGGCGACAAGGCAAGAGGTTGACAACCTAGCCAACGACTTCAAGACTTTAACACATGTCGTTGAAAACCTTGTAGAGAAGAATGGTGAGAAAGTTGACAAGCAAAAGACGCGTGGTGGGCGAACATCGGTAAGTCACGTACATTGTCTTTCAGTCATAGTTCACATATCTGATCTATTGATTTTTTACGGAAGGCCTACATTCGTTTTCATATTGATGTGATGCTGGGTAGAAAATCCGAAACAAGTCCACTCCCACCTCCAGCATGCCCTGAAGAGAAGGAAAAGTGGCTCTATGAGACAGACCTCGATGCTATTCTCGACGTTCCTGATGTGCCACACCCTGCCGGCGATGGAAGTGCGTACAATCCGAATCTCCAGGGTCCGGATGGCCCTGGGCATCCAAATGCCACTGCTCAGCAGATGGCTGTGATCTTGAAGGTCATGAACTCGGTTGGGTTGGAAAGTTTCCGTCCCGATTTCTCTGAATCAGCGCTATCACCAGAAAATAAGTGGCTCTGGGGAATTTTGGAAAAAAATTTTGTCAAGCTAGTTCGTTGTGGAGAATATCCGGGGGTATATTTGAGTGACAATAATATGGAGTACATCAAGAAATGTTTTTCTACGTACTTTCAAACTTTGAAGAAACGGTATGTGTAACTTCTCAACTACATAGATTATTCTTCTTTCGTGCTTTTCTGAGCTAATTGTACCTTGACTGTTGATTTCTATTTGCTCTGCCCAGGTACCGTAAGGAGCAGTGGGAGCTTGATCGACAGAAGGCCGCCGAAGATATGAACCAGCGTACAACAAGGGTTGGTCGTGTCAGTTTTTTAAACGAGCATAACACTTCAATTGTTGCTGACTCTAGGCTCAATTTGACATTCAGCTCAGAAAAGCACGAAAGAAGACTGTCATGGATTACCGTCAGTTATGGAGTCTCTTACCCCTTATCAAAACAACATGCAGTGATGATGAAACAGACCCCAAAAGTCCCTCGCTGGACGATGGACCCGGAGATAAGACACCTATACATGTTAGACACCTCAAATGGCGCAGTGACAGTTTAAGAGATATCTGGACACGCCTCGACGAGTGCCAAAAACGCAGCAGAAACAGCCTCAATGGAAGCACCGCCTCTTCACCTCGTGGTCGCCGCTCACGTCCACGTATCCGAGTTTTGAATGCACCTTTGAGTAGGATTCCACTTCCTGATAACCTGCCCAGGGACTGCTATTCCGACAAATTTTGGGACAGCCTCACGGCCAAGGAAAAGGCACTGATGAATGCGGATGCTGAACTGATACTACCTGCCATCCACACAGCCTTGAATGACCTCGGCTTTTGAAAATGTCTAGCCCACTTCATCCATGGCGTTTCACTATACACAATTCAGCGTAAGTACAAACATGTTTATACCCAACGCATGTAAATTATACACGCAATTCGCAATTTATTGATGAGATATTCCATTCGCAGATAAACAACTTATCAAAAACAACGATGGACTACTTTAGGATGTAGAGCAAATGAACTTCTTGGGAAAAAGTAATGTAGAATGAACAATTCAAGAGAAAAACCGCTTTCATGGTATAGATTGGAGGGATGAAGTGCAGCAGGAATCTGACTGATCGTGAGCTCAGTGGTCATGATCATGATCTGAACCTACCCTTTTTACCAAAGTCAATGTGATAAGGATTATGTACAATTGATAGAGCACCGCTTTGACACAGAGAGAAATTTGCAGATGTGAGAACTCAATGCTACTTACACTTCAGAATGAGCAGACTACATCGGATACAAGTGATCAACACTATCAATGATGGTTAATCATATGTGAATGAATCTCACAGATATTGACAAACCAATTTATCTTTCGGTTGAGACTAGAGCCACAGTAGGTATATCGAGGTTCTTGTTAATCAGGCCTGGTCTATACATCATCCATGCACAGTGCGTTAATACCTCCTCTAGTTTCACAAGACTGTCTTTTGTCGGTCCCCAAGCACGTAGGTGAATTTGTGCATCTGGAGCTGTTACTAGGCTAAATGGATCATATTTTTGGAGTCTTGATGGAACTTCGGGGAAACACTGAACCTGTACCCAAGTTTGAAAACAGTTTGGTGAGACCTTTGACGATTTTGAGTGAGTAAAGATCGAGAAGATTCTTCCATAAGCAACTTTCTTGGTATTACCAACTCTGAAGGCGACAAAACTATCCTTTTGACTACTTGAGAAAGTTGAAAACGAGACACCCATGTGCGTTACACGTTTGTGGAAGAATGCTCGAGCCTGCACTGGGGCTTTCCCAATTGCGTCGTCTTCACTCAGCAAACAGAAATCCGCAGGTGTCATCCATTGACACAAATCTCCTTCTTGCCTATTCAATCGTTCAATCAGCAATTCCAATACATTGTCATCAATTGGAAGCATATTTCCATTTGACTGTCGTCTTGGCCGGCACTCTTCTGGCTCATACAATGACTGAAGCCTGGTAACATACGCTTCAAGAGGCTGTGGGAGTTTGTGATCCTTCAAAAGCGCAGCCAAGTTGCCTGCCGAGCTATATCTTTTCAGGAATGTGATTTCGAGTTCGCCTGATTGCATTTCAGGGAAACATCAACCTCAAAAGTCAGTTTTGTATCTAATATAAAGGTTGATAAATGTTCAGAGACCAACCCATATGATTATTATGGCAACCTTTCAGTATTCCTCCCATTAACCTTTCAAAAAGAAACAACCACCATGCGCGCACGGGACCAAAACGTCTCAGGAGATCAGACAAATGAATTGCCATATGATGATTGGGCGCAAGATGACAGTGTTGAAATAGTTTCAGCGAGCTACTTAGGTAGCTTTGGATATGATATTCATATCTTCCGATTTGATCTGATGTTATGTCCCGATTGAGGGCCAGATTGACTAGCGAGACAAGATGAAGAAAATTCTTCAGGAGAGATGTCTTTACTTGATCCTGACCAAACCATAACGGAGTCAGTATAAGTGGTAATTGAAGAGTGAATAAGTTCCTCCATTCGTTGGCTTTGAGCTTGCCGAATGATGCTTTTCCAAGTACTGGGATAGCACGTTTGATCCAACTCGGGATATTGATTAGTTTTAATTGAGAGTTTATGTATTGCAACATCCTTTGATCAAAGATGACCTCATCAAGAGGTGGTGCGTCCCATTTTCCGTTCCATCCGGAGTCACCAAGTGGATCAAAATCCTCATCACTGGTGTTGGTATTTTTGTCAAAAGACATATCTCCAAAGGAAACCCCATCTGCTTCCTCGTTTTTATTATCAAACTCCTGAACTTCTTTGTCATTTGATGGTCGCAGCTCTGAGTGTTCAAAGACAAGATCTTGAAGCTCTGTTTTTGTTATTGGAGGTAGGTTGTCTTTGTCGTTCTTTATATCCTCCATTGACCAGAATCTGCGCAGATGGCATGACAGAAGACCAAGCAACAAGTTATGCATGGAATCTACTACGTGGTAATCAATGATGTCCCAGTATTCGAGTTCAACTAATACCAAATACCTAATACTGTGAGTTTTGAAGATTTTTTTTCGTTCTTCAATGCTTTTTGAGTCACGCGCCTGGTATGCCCACATCTTATGCTGTGCTGTGGTGCGTCTTCGCCAAGTACTTTGATCTAAGTTGTTGATCTCATTTTTAGTTAGGTGACAGATTGAGCAAAAATTAATTGCTGTTGCGCTGGGGAAACCCAATGATCTTCTAAGGGCTGGGATATCAGCTATAAATACTAGTAATGCAGCCCTTACTAGACGGCCATCTTTGTATTGATGGGTGCGTGATAAGAGTAATCCTGGGTCCCAAAGACCTTTCAGTTCGGTCACAATTGGCCGTAATATCCAATTCATCTGCTCTAGTGCAGGTTCACGAGGGCCAGGTGCAATTCCAACTAAAAAAATGTTTTCCGGTTGATATCGAATGTCAAGTGGTAGAGTGAGACATACCAAGACAACAAATGTGATTGATGCATGTTTACCGCTTATCTTATTTCCATAAGGATTGATGGCGTCCACAAACATCGCAAACATCAAGTTTCCACTTGTAGCTGTATACTGACTGCCATTGGGACCACGAAAATCTTTCCATACTTTTGATTCATGGATGTCACTCCATTTTACCTTTGAATTGAAGGCCTTTTGAGATTCTTTGAGGGATTCATCAAGTCTGGCTTCAATTCCTGGACGAGAGAGCAAACAAGCGATCCAATCAGAAAGTCTCTGAAAGGCGTATCGCCTAAGCGGTCTTTTCTTTCTGTGCTTGAAATGCAGCAACGGATGACCACAGGTTTTGTCTACAAAATCCGAGTTATCAGGCTCATACGCAGGTTCTGAAGAGAGTGTCTCAGTGTGTTGGTCAGCTGGTTCGGGAGGTCCACCTGGGATTTGAGCGTAGTGATGAGTACACTTTTCTGGGGTACAGTTGAGTGAGTAGAGCGCAAAGCAAGATTGACAGCAATTCATTTCAACAAGAACAGGCTCAACATTCAGCCATTTGATTGCAGTGGTGATAGTTTTAGGAATACAACTCAAGACAAGTTCCTCGGGCTTTGTAAGAGAGATCTGGGGTTGAAAGATGTTGATTCTTCCGCTTAACCAAAGTTTGATTGTGATCTTGAGACAGTCAAAAAGCCATGTAGCGGTATTCATCGACAAATTGCCAAGGATGCTGAGGATCGTAACAACCAGAACAACATGAAGTAGTACTGGGTTCATTTCTTGCAATGTGAATCCGTAAAACCGGTCTGCGTGTCCATAAAGGAGAGAGGCATAAGGAAATTGTACAACACTCAGTTCAAAGTAAAAACCAACATACTACAGTTGTAGACTTCTACGCCAGCTACTTTGGCTTCTCTAGCGGCCAAACATGTTTTTAACAAGGGTGACGATTGTTCGGGGTCCCTGTCAAGTGATGTTCTTGTTCCTGAGCAAGCAGTTGGGTTCGGCGGGTGATCCTGTAAATCAAGTTGAAATCAATGTGAGTCTTGATATCTGAGCCAAGAACCAATTCCAGCTGACACTACACCAAATGTAATCTTTACTGGGTGGTAAATAAAACTACTGACATAGAAAAGTCCTGAGGCAACAGGAAGAGAGCTAAAAATCTGAAAAAATATGCACCTTGTTCCTAGATGTTGGGGCGTCATGATGAGTATTTTTTTGTATTTTACACGCAGATATTGGTTTATGTACTAACAATAAACGCTGAAAATCATCAAAAACTCACATGTAACAATACCTGAAATATGGGTCATGAGTATGAAGACAATATTTTGTGGTCTAAAAACTTCAATAACTTTTGCAATTCTGCTCCAAATAACTCGATTTTTGGTTCATTCAAAAGCTGAACTATTCTCCTTCACACTTCATAATGTTAGTAAGGTGCTATCTAGTCATTTAAACACTCTACATATGTTCAAACAGTTCTGCATGAATAGCTCTGTAGGATCTTTTTTAGACCAGCTACAGATATGATGTCTCAATGAAAAATGTAGAGGAAAGGCTCACCTTTGCAATGCACTTTAAATCGAGTGATTTGATCCAGAACTTCAAAAGTTATTGATATTTGAAGATTCCAAAATCCTGTCTTCAAAGTCAAGGGCCAAATTTCAGGTATTGTTACAGGTGGGTTTTTGATGATTCTCAGCCTTTATTGTTAGTACATTAACCAATATCTGTGTGTAAAATACAAAAAAATACTCGTCATGACGCCCCAACATCTAGGAACAAGGTGCATATTTTTTCAGATTTTTAGCTCTCTTCCTGTTTCCTCAGGACTTTTCTATGTCAGTAGTTTTCTTTACCGCCTGGTAAAGATGACATCTTGTGTAGTAAGAGGAGTCACCTGAGATAGATCACTGTGTGAGAACAAATGAGAGTTAGAGCGATGGGACGGAGATTCAGGATTGCTAGAATTTAAGTTCAGGCGTGATATAGTCCCAACAAGTGTATCTTGACCTGTTGTATGATAGCTTGCACGAGAAGTTGTTGCTGTTCTCTGATTAGAAAGACTGGAGGTGGCTTGTGCTGCTTGGTCAGCCAGTTCGTGGGCTGCAAGTGTGTCAGGTAAGACTTCCACTCCAGTTTGAGTTATCCCAGAGGCGTCAACATATTGACCAAGATAACAATCATATGCGCGACATACACATTTTACGCGATGAAGGGTCTGCTTTTTCTTTGCGCCCAATGGCATGCTGTGAGAGTATGAGTCCACAAAAGTTAAGAAATGAAAGAAGAAATTTCACGTTATAAGAGCTACGGTGGGTGAGAAAGACAATTCTGCTGGGTGCTCAGATGGAGTTATATCCACATTCAAAGACCTTCAAGTTTCTCAATTATCCACATACAATATATATCTTAAATCAAAACAGCTGATACAAGGGTTTGTTTCAATCCACAAAAGTACAAGATCGGGAGTTAAAGAGTAGTTGGAAATGACACATGGCTTAACAATATAAAAGAACGTGAGATGCTCAAGTTGAGACTCAAACATGCTGAAGTTTGTCTAAAAAAAAGATGCAAGGTGGTCAGTTACGTGAGTTGCTGTCATCATTCGGCCAGCAACAACAGGGGAACGATAAGGCTTACATGAAGGAAAACAAGTCTGACCAGTATGAGCTATGGAAATTGAACGGCTGTTTCACAAAGACACAAACACGGGACTATATGAGATTCTTTCATATCACCAATATGAAAATGGACACGGAGTCAGATAAGTGTGATACAAGAAACACACATAGAGATAGATGGACATACCTAAACTAGACAAAATCGGGAAGCATCAAACTAAGCAGACTATATAGGAGGGTTAGTTACAAACTCTCACAAGTGAAGGATTCAAAACGGATGAAGAAACTTTGGACTAACTTGAGCACCAGATTAGGGGGCTGCACGTAAGAGCGAGTAATGAAACCCGCGTACCAAGAGTCCAGGTTGGACAGATTCTTCGAGAACAAATTTTATGTAGAGGTTTACAAGGACAGTGTGAGTCATTGGAATGGAGTGAATGAAGAAATGTGGAGCGTGATCTTGTAAGCTAAGTCGAAGCTCTTCCATGAGAAGGCTCTTGACTTCAAGGCGTTTAACAACTTTGGGAGAGCTGATGTATTTGGTGTCTCCAGGGATCCGGAGATCTTTGTCGACGTGCTCTTTATACAGATGAAGTAGACCCTTTGATGTTGCTGCCTTAGGTATAACAACAGACGAATCGGATTCCCAGATAACGTTTGCAAGATCCTGTCGACAAACTCTTCGAGAGAGTGGGTTGAAGTCCCTCGGTGTAGTCCGTTCAGTCTGCATCGGTAACGGTGGCACAGGCAGTTGGTACGGCTTGATGAGAGGCAGAACTTTCACCAAGAACTCGTCAATCAACTTGGCCTTCTTGTGGTTGGGGCGAGATTTTGTTGCCGGATCGAAGTGAGTCAAGATTTGGTAGTAATCAATACATTTGTAAGATTCCTTTTTATTTTCATAATCGTGATCGAGGAATCCTCGTAGGTTGTCCGGTAGTGTTTGAATCAAGAAGTAGGTAGAGTTGAGCGAAGCTGCAGGATGCTCATGAGGCGGCTTGGAAGAAGAGTGACCTGGTGGTGGTGGTGGTGGTGGTGGCGGTTGTGGCGGACCCTCTGATTGAGTATTGCTATCCATTATAGTCGACTCATTGCTTGGAGAAGTCTTCTTCTTGTTTGATTTGTTGGCCATCACGATGTAGAACCCGACAAGCGAGGTTTTTATATCTATCTGATGGATGAGATTGATCAGTACGAATGAACTGGAAAAGGAGATATTTACTTACTTCAGTCCAACGTACCCGAACGTAGTTTGAGCTTGATGAAGGACTTCGACCTAAGAAGTTCAAGGTCAGATTGATCAATAAAGGAATACATGCATGAGCAAGTTAGAATATGATAGTTTGGAGAAACCAACCAAATGAAATATAAAAGTTCACAAAAAATAGTATCGAGTCTGGTTCAAGCGGAATGAATAGAAAATCCACAGGAATTCAAGCATCAAATTAGAGAGGTGTTGGCTGAAAATGTATCGAGAAGAAAGTACTGCCGGATAGAAGAACAAATCAAATAATGGTTCATCTTTCTGCACTGGTGTCTAAATATGACTTGTGCATACTTTGTGTTGATGTAGCATAAAATTTTATAATTGGTTGTGGTCCAACTTATTCATGCAGGTCGTTCGATTTGGGGCTCACAAGAATTGAGAAGATATACGAGGTTGTGAAGGGTTGTAATCAAAGGAATGAAAGGAGACTTACATCGGAATTTATTTCTATTGACCACATTGAGTGGGGATTTTGCGGGACTTATCAACAGGTCACTCTAGATAACAAAGCCCAACAAAGATATGTTTACAAAATCAAGATTCCATGAAGGCTTCGACGTACAAACGAGAAACAGCCGCAGAGTAATCCGGTTCATGGTGAATTTAAAAGAGGCCATTTACAACAAAGGATGATGATCCAAGCCAGGTTTCAGAAGCTTAATCATTGGGGATACAAGTGGGATTTGTTACGAAAAGAACAGCTTCGCAGGCTTTTGTTTTCTAGGCCCCAGAATTGAGTGGTAGGGGGTATTTGTGTTCTGAATATCACTTAGTGACATAAATCATTTAAGTGTTCCGCCCGGAAAACTTAATTTTTCGAGTAGTGACAATAAGAGACGGGGCGGAGAATTGGGTGCGCAGGAGGGAGACTTAGTCCTTGTAGACAGTGCGAATAGGTCTCAGGTGGTGGGAGGCAAGGTTGCTAAACTACGGGCTAGGTATGACGGTCCTTATCAAGTTGTGAGTGTACTCAACGACGGCAGGGACTTCAAGCTCGAATTACCCGACGGTGATAAGACACATGATACCTTCCACACTTCAAAACGCAAGTTGTACAAGATGGCGGACACGGAGGTGATGGAATGAGGTTTTGGCGAGGAACTACTTGGTGCAAGTAATTCTCCTCCTTACGTATGCACCAGTCCGAGGGGTTTCTCTTCCCTTTATTGTTTTCATAACATTACCTTGGCCACTTGTGTGAGCACCGGACAATTTGTGTTCTTTTCACAGGCAAGGCGGACAGTCATTAAGGATTAGGACGTGGTCAATGGCGTAGTAGCACGGGACGTGTTGGTTTTGAGTTTTGTGTTGTGTTGTTTTGTTTTTTTCTGTTTTCTTTCTTTCTTTTCTTTTTTCGATTTTCTTCTTTTTATATAAAGTTAGTTATTCATTGGGATTATAATGGATTAGTAGTGGGGAATGTTTGAGGAGGGGTTGGAAGAATTTTAGGTGGGGAGGGTGTAAGAGAGGTTGTGACAGGAGAGTGTGACAGATATCACGGATTGTGACAGTTAGGGCTATTATCTCTAGATTCTACAAACTCTCTTCCGTTTCTCTCTTTCTTCTTTGTGATCTCTTTCTCTATTGTTCTTTTCTCATTACTTTTTGACTGTGCTGGGTTTTTTCTGATTAAAGAGTGCGGAACTAGGTATGGGGGTGATCTCTTTCTCTATTGTTCTTTTCTCATTACTTTTCGACTGTGCTGGGTTTTTTCTGATTAAAGAGTGCGGAACTAGAAATACAATCAAGGGGATTAGAATAATCCACCTGTGGCTACCCGACCCCACGAGTATAAGCCGGTAGGAAAAGTGCCGTTCCTAGCGGCTAGTAGCCGTAACGCCACCCACCGACGCGCCGCCGTCCCGACGCGTCGGACTCAAGGTGATTTCTGAGGGCTGCTTCCATTGGGAAAAGGCATGGAAACATCTGTAGCGCCGTCCGCCACTATATAATGGCTAATATGTCAAGGTCAGCCACAATATTGGAAATCCGCATCACACATATGTGAAATTCAATCACATATATGTGAATCCCATTCACACCCATGTGAATGTTGTCATTGCCACGGAATGTGTATACAAAAAATACACCTATACCAAGGATTCACACATATGTGAATCCCAATGCCACATATGTGAATTGATTCACGTGCAAATACAAAACAAGCCAATCCAAACAAATCACACATATGTGAATCCAATCACACATATGTGAATCCAATCACACATATGTGAATCCAATCACATATATGTGGTTTCAATCACATATATGTGAATTGAGTTATGCGTAAATACAAAACACACCTACACCAACCAGTCACCCGTAGGTGAAAGTGTATCACCCTTAGGTGAAAGTGTATCACCTGTATGTGAATATTAATCATTGATATTCACATACATGTAGATCAATCACATATATGTGAATTCCAATCACATATATGAATCACATATATGTGAATTTCAATCACATATAAGTGAACCTGAATCACATATATGCAAATCTCAATCACATGTATGTGATTGGCATTCACATATATGTGAATCTGATTCACATGTACGCAAATCCCAGCTCCACATATGTTAATCTCAATCACATATATGTGAATCTGAATTCACATATATGTGAATTTTAATCACATATATGTGAATTCCAGTCACATATATGTGAATACTGTGAATTCCAATTACATATATGAATCACATATATGTGAATTTCAATCACATATAAGTGAACCTCAATCACATATATGCAAATCTCAATCACATATATGTGATTGAAATTCACATATATGTGAATCTGATTCACATGTACGCCAATCCCAGCTCCATATATGTGAATCTCAATCACATATATGTGAATCTTAATCACATACATGTGAATCTCAATCAAATATATGTGAATTGTATGTGATTGCCATTCACATATAAGTGAATCTGATTCACATGTACGCCAATCCCAGCTCCATATATGTGAATCTCAATCACATATATGTGAATCTCAATCACATATATGTGAATCTCAATCACATATATGTGAATATCAATCACATATATGTAAATCTCAATCACATATATGTGAATTCCAGTCACATATATGTGAATACCAATCACATACATGTGAACACCAATGTGCGAATTTAGGAATCCTAATCTGCGAATTTAGTCAATGCATATGTAAATAAAACACCCCTATAATAACAAAACACACATGTTAATATACAATACATCATATTACACATATGGGAATCAGCCTCACCGCTACACTGCGGCATGCATTACATATGCTACCACACGTGCGTGATTGTCATTTTCAGTCACATATAGACTTTGACCTCACAACCTCATCTATCCATATGTGAAGGCAAGCACATCAGGGGAATTTGCCATCAGTAATCTCATGAGATATATAGAAGACTCAAATTACTAGGCTGATTCATCACAAATTAAATAAGAACAAGCTTTGAAAAAAACAAGTCACAAGCAAGATATCTATTCAATTTATGATTAAAAAACCTATTCAAGAACTTATAAGGTATAACAAGAAGGGACTGCTCATTAATCATCATCTGAGATCACACCCTTCTCACAGTTTGGACGAGTGATCATTAAGCATTCCCGGCGCCATTGTTTATATACATCGATATTATCAGCAAACCAATCTTTCCAATCTTTGGCTTTAGGAGAACTGAGGGTGCGCCAATCCGGATGGAGGTAAGGAATTGGTAGGGTGGGAGAAAACTTGAGGTCCAGAGAAATACAGTGAGTATCCCAGATGACGCCAAGAATGATTGGTCGAGTAGTACCTATTGGGGCTGAAAAAAAAGGTAAAGTTGTACATGATGCAGTAGCCACCGAGGAGTATGATATGACTGGTCTCTTGAAAGCATTTGCTATAACACAACAGCCACCGGGCATTGGATACCACAACCTTCGTGGTGCGTGGTTCTTGCCATATTCCAGTATATTCAACATATGGGTGACAGTCGTGCCGGATGCGCTGAGTCTTGGCAAATGCTCCTTGTACCATTCGTAGTTGGCTCGTACTTCGCTAGCCATTGTCGCTCGCACCTTCACAGCATCGCTTTCAGGACGTCCAAGTGACACCGCAACAGATGCAAAAGCACATAGTCCGTTCCCTTCGACATTTGTTGCTGATTTGACAAAAGGATAGAGCATCCTAGGCAGCTCTCTTAGAAAGTCCCACTTCTAAAAACGCCAGGCCAGGTATGTCAGTATATTAAAGATCGTGATATTGATACTCTGAAGGTTAGATACTCACAATCAACACTTGTTCCTCTGGGCTGGCCTTTAAGAGCTTTTCTTCTTTTTCTTTTTTTTGTCTTTCACGTTGTTCTTGTGCTGTGGCGGATATGTTTTCAAGCGAAAACTAATAGGTATGTTAGCCAAATCCTATTTGATGATTGCAAGTTTTGGAGACTGATCAAAGCTCCAAACAAGACTTACAGGTTCCAAATTTTTCGACCCCGGTGCAGGTTTTTTTGGCATCTCAGAACGTTTCGGGCGCTTGCTTACTGGGAGATCCTGCCAAACCAAAAGTAAGTTTGTCAGAGCTTTGAAAAGAGAGCTTTGAAAAGTTGAACATTCAAAGCGGACCTACATTTTCATCCAAAGTTTGTGAGATCACTCTCACAGATTTGCGAGTCCCACGACCTCCATCTTTTATATTATCAGACGGGGTCGCCTTCTTCTCCGCACGAGCCGCATGCCGAGTTCGAGTGGTGACAGGGGTTGGATCCGGATCCTCCCCCTGCGAGGTGAGGGGGGAGTCAGGTCTTTCAGGCCTAACTCCATTGTCTTCTATAGTGGCTTTTCCCTATCAATGGCAAACAATCAGCTATTCAATAT